CCAGACGTTTATTTCTTTGTTTGACCCGTGTACTAGCGAGAACCTGCAATAGTAATACAAAAAACCAAAAGAAATGTTTGCTAGTTCATTTTCTATACGTTCCTGTATCGTGTGTCTCTGATAAAAAAAATGCATTTGCAAGCATGCCGGGCACAGCTAGTTTTACTTTAAAAGAAACCTCGGCAACTGTTTCGTTGTTTTAGTGTTCGTTAGTCCGGTTACAGTTACTAATCATGTGGTTTCAAGGAAAGTAAAAGGAAACAAATCCCGGATCTAGAAAAAAAAACAGTTTATTTGGTATTTTTGGTCAAGATATTCTTAATCTAGGTAGTAAGGAATCCCGACGGCAATTAGAATGTTAGAATAAGTTGTCGTGAGCAAAGTTGATTCGCGTAAAAGAAAATCTAACACACTACATACGATTATATTCTTATTTATTATACCCATGACGTTATTTTTGGACGTTTGCTTGTCCAGGTATTTAGAAAACCTCGCTTCGACGCCGAGGTTCCTGGTTCCGTTGTGCACACAATTTGCTTATTTTCGGATCTGATTCGTTTTCTTTTACGAACATAGGCCACTGTCGATATCAGCTGAATTTGTATCAATCGTTACGCTCGACACGTGGACTGACGTTCGCAGTGACAGGCGTCTCAAACCTTTGACAGTGCCGCCCATCGACAATCTGGTAGTATTATACCGGATGCAAGATGGTAATAACTTCATTTATTGGAAGCCATAAGATCTCTCTGGCATTTCCCATAGTGGTCTTCTGCGACATCGACGGGATGAAACAGGGTTTGTAGTTAATTTGTTTAATGTTAATTTGTTTAATGCGGGAAATAGAGTAAATGGGGCCTTGCACTCTATTGTGAAGAGTCAAAATGTGTCGAAAAAGGCACGTATGGCAATTCACAATGCTGTGTTGGTCAAATTCAAATTCAAATTCAAATTTATTTAATTGCCATAAATAGGGTAAGTGATAGGTTTTTTACAATAAAAATAAGTTGCTTAAAGACCTATTTAGCCATGAGATACGGCATGCAATTGTTTTTTTTTAAATTACCAAATAATATAGCTGGTAGTCGATTCTAAAATGTCAAGTTATTAAATGTAAGTTATATAACTCAAAATGTCATAATTTACTATATCAATATTAAAATTTAAATACACTCAATCAAAAATGAAGGTCTGATAAAACAGTGATACGCAGTGATACACAGCAATTACGTCTATCACATGTCAACATGCATATTATTATCATTTTGAAATTCTTTAACACTATAATAACATTTTCTTATTAGCCATTCACGTAACTTTTTGGTCATGAGAATCATAGAGCCGTGTTTGAACTGCTTTGGAATTTTATTAAATATTTTTACACACATACAGTAACAACCTTTCTGATAGACAGAAGTTTTTGGTTTATGGTCTAAGACAAGCCGTTTACTATCTCTAGTGCTTCGTGGATATATATCACAAGCTGACTTAAATAACTCTGCATGTTGTTTGACAAATTTATATATTTCCAATATTTACATGCCAGGGACTGTTAATATACCCAGCTTAATAAATAGGGGCTTGCATATATCAAATGGACCTTTACCGCATATAGCACGTATACATTTTTTTTGTGCGATGAGAACTCTATTTGCTTCAACGCTGTTGCCCCACAGAACCAGACCATAATTAATATTAGACGCGACGTAACCATAATAAGCAGACATAGTTACGCTAAGAGTCGTTATCTTAGTTAAACGCCTTAAGACAAAAGCAAACCTATTAATTTTATTACAAACTTTATCAATGTGGCCAGTGAAATTTTAAGTTCTCGTTAAGTACTACACCCAAAAATGAGACCATTGTAGTCCTTTCAATAGGTATGTTTTTGTACATCACATTAAGATTATTTGCTGCTCGTCCTTTTATGTTAAAATTTATGAAATTTGTCTTATTCAGATTTACATTTAGATTAATTAATTTAAGATATTGGACTATATTATTAATTGTGTTATTAATGTCATTTTCATAATTATTTAAATTGTCATTATAATTTGATTTAACAATAATGGAAATATCATCTGCAAACATTATGCATTGATGTTTAGTCAATCTCGGTAAGTCATTTATATATAATAAAAACAATATAGGACCCAGAACGCTACCCTGTGGTACTCCAAACTTATTTATTTTATAATTAGATCGATCGGGTGTAGTTGTATTTCTCTCGCTTATTCTATTTATTTCTACGCATTGATGTCTATTTTCTAGATACGTTTTAAGCCAAGAGTGAGAAAGACCTCTAATCCCATACTTTTCCAGTTTATCTAACAAGACATTGTGAACTACAAAATTGAATGCCTTAGACATATCGAAGAAAAGTACAGTAGTACGCTGTTTATCATCGAGTCCAAGAATAACGTTATGTATTAGATTAAAGCACGCGAGGGTAGCTGATTTTCCCTTTTGGAACCCATTTTGCTCCGGTGTAATGATTTTGAATTTCGTTAAATAGTTGAGCAGTCTTTTTTGCATGGCCTTTTCAAATACCTTTGATAACACCGGTATTAATGTAACTGGGCGATAGTTACCGATTTCAGATTTATTCTGTTTTTTGTAGATAGTTTTCACGATCGAGAATTTAAGAGCCTCAGGAAAGCATCCTGTTTCAAAGGATAAATTAATTAGGTATGTTAATACTTGGGCTAGTTCGTTTTTACAGAATTTTAACACTTTTGTTGAGATTTCATCATACCCACATGAGCTAGAATTGTTTAGTGATTGTATAATACGAGTAGTTTCTGTTGAATTCACCGGTTCAAGAAAAATTGACTTTGATATATGATTGATCGTTGATAGTATATTTCGCTTTTTGTCCATATCATATATATACCATCCATCACTTAGGTTTACGTAGTAATCATTAAACAGTTCAGCTATTTTTGTCCCATTTGTTATTATACTATTTTCGTATTTCATATGTGTAATGTAATTTTGTGGGGGTTCGCTTTCCGTTACATCTTTGATGAGTTTCCATGAAGCTTTACAAATATTCTGACTGTTCTGGAGATATTTGATATTGCAATTTTTTTGGGCTATTGATATGCACCTCTAAAGCATTTTTGAATACCTCAAGTAAGCTTCTCTGTCCTCGTTAGTTTTTTGTTTATAATACTTGAAACGCAATGATCTTTTAGTTTTTATGCAAACTTTTATCCCTGGGAGATCCATTTTGGCTTTGAATTTTTATTGGTAATTTTAATTTTTAATTTCAGAAAGCATGATTTATAAAGTGTACAAAAAAGATCATAGAATCGATCGAATGCTGCATTCATGTTTTTCGCGTTGTAAACATCTGAGAAAGATAGTGACTGTAAGTAGCCACGAAACTTTAGAAGATTTTCATTGCAGTAGTCTCTCTTGTGTAAGAACCAGTATTGTAGACTATGAGTATTTTCTATTGAGAATGACAATATTTGGGCAGTATTGTGATCAGATAGATGAAGCGGCATTGTCACGCCCTTAGCTTGTTTAATATTACTTAAAATGTGGTCTATACAGTTATTTCCTCTAGTAGGTTCATTTATGTGAATTTTTAAATTAAAGTATTTAGCCATATCTTTTAATTGTTGCGATGCTCTAGATTCCACTAATGTATTTATATTAAAATATCCAGTGATGATAATTTTATATTGTGTAAATGTCTTTAACAGTTCATGGGTCACCGCTTCCAGCCTCGTTAAAAATGAGTGAGCAAATCTATTGTGAGAGGTGTAAACAGATAATATCATTACTTTGTATTTAGGGATTCTTATTCCGCAGCACTCAAATACTTCTGGTAATAAGTACTTGTCAAAAATTTTGAGTTCGTTGCAAGTAAGGCCTTTCTGCAGAAAGATGCAGGTACCACCACGTTTATTATTCCTAGAATAGCTTGCTGCTTGTTTGTAATTTGAGAGAGTAGCATTTTTCTCCTCACCTTTTTTTATAAATGATTCTGAGAAGCATATTACATCAGGTTCTGAATCACAGTCTTTCAGTTCAGAGAGCGTCACTTCTAAAAGGTCCTTTTTTGAGAGCAAACCCGCTATATTTTGATGCAAAATAATAACACGTTTTTTGTTTAGGTCTTTAACACATTGGAGGATGTTTTTTGGTTACTGTGTGGAACGAAAAAGATAATTTTGCCGTAAGGGAAAGAAAAAGTCTAATATGGAAGTCTGCTTGTATCTATATCCACAATTTGTCAGTTTTTGTTGTGATTTCTTTAACACTTTTCCGTTACATCCGCTCTTCTGAACATGGTTCTTGATAAAAGAATATTTTAGAAATGTTTTCTCGTAATATAAAGAATCAATAAATATGTTAATACTATGACAGGCGTTCTTTAAATAACAATGATAATATTTTTTTAGTTTCAATAAAGTGACTATTTTTAAACTTTTTACATATTAATTTTAATTGCGTGTTTAATGAATTATTATTTAAATGCTTACTACTAGTTACATTCATTACAATAACGGTGGCATGCTTTAGTAATTTCAATGCAGCATATAATTCCGCTATGGCTGTTACCGGATCATCATCATTTTCTCCTACACATAAAAATAACCTTATCGTGTGTGTCTACCTTTAAATTGGTACATAGCTTTAGGACTTCTTCCGTAGATGCAAATGGCTTGATGAACGCTGTTACTTGGTAGTCCCCGTATCTGCTATTCATTCTTGACTTAGTGAGTTCTGCCACGAGACCAATGCACTGTTACGTCTCCATAATGAAGATATTCTGTTTGGTGAATGCATTATTTTTTTATTGTTTTCAGTTTTGTCGCGAGATGTAAGCTGTTCTTCATCCCTTTGAGTAGTGAGCTTGATGCTAAGTTCTTGTATTTGATTCTCTAGCTCGGTAATCTCTTTTTTGGCTTCGTTCGTAAAAGTTGTAACATTTTTTATCACATTTCTTTGAAGAAATTGGAGAAAAGTGTGATGAATGGCTGTATTTAGAAGTGTTTGAGGGGGGTAAGTGAGACGTGAAATCCCTTATTTATCTCATTTGTGCTTTTAATTATTGGAGATTGACAGATGTTCTTTAGAACCTCAATTTCCTTTTTTAATTTATTTATTTCTCTTTTGTATTCATTGTTTTCTATTATCGTATTCTCTAACTCATTTTGTGTACTCGAGAGATTAATTTTTAATTCTTTAATTTCTTCCTTCATTTCCCGCATTTCGCATATTTTAAAAGTTGAGTAATCTTCACTCCTTGAGAACATTTCCAAGGAGGATTCCTCTAGTTCGTCGCATTCTTCTTCCGTATCGATCCCGCATGAATCAAGCAGAGGAGATGAAATATCTACAACTGATTCCGATTTAGGTGACGCAGTTTGTTTAGCTGCTGAGACAGTCTTTTTTCTTAATGTGATTTTTTTATATTCCGTGTGTGAACGTGTAGATTTTAATTCTTTTTGGCTTTTTAAGCAGATTTTGCATTTCCACGCAGCTTTTTTTTCTGCTTGCATTAATCGATAATAGCTTTTCTGACAAGCCAATACAATGAAAGTCGAATCTTTTTTTGCACTGCGAGCATAATATCGTATCTCTTGCCTCTCTGTTACATTTGCATTTATCACATATAACAGATTGATATCGGCTAGTTTTCATGTCATTATTCTGTTTTCCGTCCATTTTTAATGTTCCTGTTTAATGTTTGTTATTTTTCTTTTTTATAAAATTTGTATAAAAAAAGATATTGGTCAATTTTACAAAAGCTAGATTTAAGTGTTAAAAAGAATTAAAAAAAAAATTAATTCGAGGATTTGAAGCCTATCTCGTACGCAGACCGTGCTCTCACTAAATATACCACGCGTCACTTATGCTAGTCTTAGAAATTTCTGTTTATATTGTGATTGCAATGGAATGACAATCAGGTAGTTCATTGACCTTTATTATGGACTGCTGAATCACAATAGCTATTTCACTTGTAATTACCGTCACAGTCACAGATCTCACAAAATTTTATTTACTTTCTAACGGTACTTGATCTTAGCTTCACGTATATATATATGTATATATATATATATATATAAATATATATATATATATATAATTTAGCTGTTAATATGTAACTTTTCGTTTAATTACGAAAAAAAATCTACAGAGCTTCGATTTAAAACAGCCGCACGGTCGGGTGTACACCTTAAAACATCCCTACTTTAACGTATGGTAGTGAAAGTTGGGTGTGGCATAAGAAGCACGAAAGTAGAATAAATGCAGTAGAAATGCGGTCGTTAAGGAGTATGTTAGGGCTGAATCTGAATAACAGGGTAAGAAATTGTGTAATAAGAGAAGAGTGTGGTTTGCAAGATGATGTGGTGACCAGGATTAAGAAAGGAATGCTTCGGTGGTTTGGTCATGTGGAAAGAATGAATGAGGAAAGAGTGACAAAGAAAATTTATGGCGCAGAAGTGAATGGCAGAGTCGGAAAGGGACGTCCTAGGCGAAAATTTATCGACCAAATTGGCGATTTATTGAAAACGGGCCAAATTAGGAGTACCCTTAACCGACGAGCATGTATGCGTAGGTGTATGGATGTGAAGGAGGCAAGAGAGGTGTGTCACGATCGTGCCAAATGGAAGTCTGTAGTCTCTGCTTACCCCTCTGGGTGACAGGCGTGAGTGTTTATGTATGTATATGTATGTATTGTTTAATGCCACTTTTATATTTATATTTATTTAAATAGATTAAAAGAGAAAATCGCTTTAGTAAATTAAAACATCTTTAGAATTTTACTTATTTTGAATTACTTAAAAATAATTTTATATTTCATTAACGAATTCTTTAATCGGCGCATGAGCACCGAAAACTATTCCACCTTAATTTATTTATGTGATTATCATCAAATTGTCCTACTGACGATATAAATACATGTTGCCGTTAGGCAACTCGGTGCCATATTGTTTAAACCGACTTTTTTCCAATTAAAATGAGTTCTTCTTTGAAATCGAAATAAAAAAATGTTCTATTACTTTTTACGATACAGTAATATTATCAGAGGTATGAATTTTTAAAGGTTTGAAAATCTTTAATTCGGATACTTTTGACTCATTCTAGGATATTATTATACATAATACAAATATTTCATTCTTGTAACCTACCGGGTCCAACTATGCCTGTACCAGTAACCTTCGTGGAAGTGCAAGCAATATGTTGACAAAGTTTTACCGCAATCTTATGAACGTTATGGCAGCGCTTAAAATTCTAACCAAAAATATTAATAATACCTCTCGTGCCCTGATGCTTTCTTGTAGTCTTTAGCCATCGATCTGATCAGCGTTACGATGACATATTGTGGTAAGTTCTCCCACTCCTTAAGCACAGCAACTTTACTCGGGAGTGGATTAAACACCGGGAACCCTGGCTCGGACTCACCGGATGTTCTGGGGAAAGTTTCACTTTAACACTTTTTTGTGTTTTAATGAGTTAATGAGGGTAGCAATTTATTCTCAGTGTAATGTGGTTGGCAAAATTGCTTGTTTAAATTAAATTAATGTGAGAGAAAGGATTTATGTAAAGCTGTTCAACAGGACAATGTCGTACCGGGCCATGCCTCGCGCGGCTTGTTGAAATTACACATCCGTCCGGTCCAGGCTTATGAATTGTAGAGTTACACCGATCGAAAGGACGCACGCGTCCTGGCCAAACCCGAGCGGTTAGACGTAGGGAAATACTAGTTTGCAGTTGTATGTGACGGCTTTAGAGAAAGGTGTCATCCGGTCCATGCGTGTTCGAAGGGACGCACGCTTTCGATAATTATATGATTGAGGATGCTATATCTACAAGAGAGTATGTTGTTGAAGCATATATCTTCTATCGAAGCTAATACTGCCGTGCAAGCTGTACAACGATCTGTGTGCCTGTGTGTGCTTAGTTGAAAGAGCCAGTTATCCGGTCCACGTTGTCATATGAGATGACGACTGGTCGAAGGGATGGTGTCGTTCACTGAGTTAGGTGTTGTCATATGAGATGACGGCTCGACAAAAGGATGCCTTAGCTAGTGTCAGTTTGCCTGAGGTCAACTGTAATTAATTACTTGGCGTATGTACGTTTAAATGTTCAAAGATAGGGACAGTGTACTTATTTATGTCGGTACAGACGAGTGGAGGAAGTGGTGATTAATATTATTTGTTACAATAATACATGAATATACATGACCAAGGACGGTTATATGTCAGGATTGGCTGTGTCGATATGTCTATAAAATACTGGTTATATCGAGAGTAAAAAGGTTTTACTCTGACGAAACGTCGTATCGTTGGTAACGTGGCAACCGTTGTTGTCATATAGGATTTTAAGAGAAAAAATATTGAGGACCGTACCACATATTTGCAACGATTTGGTAACTGTCTTCTTATTGTATTTTAATGTGTTTTGGTCTGCGATAAAAAATATATTCATCATTGGTTGATTGAAAGATTTATATACAGCACTACGTTACCTAAAAGACCGCTTAGAGTCCATCTTCTCCTCTCACGATCGTAACATACGTTACGCTAACAATCTTTCGCTTCGTATTGCAACATTCATCCTCCTTCATTTTTAAATATATAATTTTCTGTTACAGCTTTACGCTTATGAAACTCCGTGCTTTTATTTATTCTACGTGCTCAGTCCGTTCTTCCTTCAAATATCTACTCAAAACTTATTACTTGGAGGTTTAATATATCCACATCATACTTTCCGTCTTTAGTTGTATCTATCACATCTATCCTCAATTGTCACACACACAAACACACACACACACACACACACATACACACACACACACACACACACACACACACACACACACACACACGCACACGCACACGCACACACACACACACACACACACACACACACATATATATATATATATATATATATATATATATATATATATAGAGAATCGAATCACACCTATCATTTCCAGCTACCTATTGAATTTCTACAAATTTTTCATTTTATTTCGTTTTAAGTAGTTTTGGAGTTCGATAAAGAATATTTTAATTATTAATTGATTGCAAGATATTTAATAGTTTTTTTTTTAATAATGAAATAACAATTGTTATCAAAAAAGTATAAAAAGTTGACTATAGGTTTAATACATTAATATTAACATATTTACTGATCTCGATATCTCATTCTCTATTTAATATTTAAACTGTTTGTTTCGCCCTACCTTACAACATTATTCGGGTATAAGAGGTGCTTGGTTTTGCACCTGATCTCCGCCGATTTAAACATTACATCAATACAAAACAAATACTCTATATATCAGTCCTATAGACGACGATGTGAGTTAAACCAACCGACTACACATAGCTTTGACAGTTTATTTATTACCACATTGCGAATTAGATTACTTATTTATATACGAATTCCGTAAAATATATTGTACTAATATGTCAAGCTCGAGCTCGCTCTGCATGTCGTAGATAGGGTAATTCTCTCAGTTTTTCTGCGTAATAAAATCCATAACGAGGATATCCGCAAAAGACGTAGTGTAACTGAAATAGACGATTAGATCAGTAACATGATGTGGCAATGGGTCGGCCGTATTGCTTAAATAATCAACAATCGATGGGGTAGATAGTTTCTAGAGTGGTAGCCTCGAACCAGCTATTGAGGTGTTAGACGACCTCTCACTAGATGTTGTCTGAGGACCTGATGAAACATGCAGAAAGTCGAGGGATGCAGGTGAATAAGAGCCCTACATCGCGGCACTCCATGGAGAAGGTCCATGTTCAGCAGTGGACTTGCGTTAGGCTGCAATAATGATTTATTCATTTGTCTGAGCGACTAAATTTTATCTAATGTAACAAAGCTACTGACATGAAGTTTGCACCAATAATATAACATATATTATATCATCTTCTTTAACGGGATAGTAAAAATTGAAGGAAAATTACAGTCTGTATTCGTCCCACTACTGGGCGTAGGCCGCCTCTCACTGAGCTATAACGCTCTGTTCTGGTGAGTGTTTGGGGACTACACATATTCCCGAAATATTATATTCCACATACATGCTGTTTTCTGTACGGTATATATCAATTTACCGCCGAGTGCGTAGTAAATCAGCACTAAAAATTATCTATATCATCTAACAATTTTATTGGTGCCGGCTGTGAATACAACTAGACTGATTGAATTTAGAACCGCTATTAACGTATTGAAATACTGGTTCATAATTTCCCAAAAAAATACTTGTGAAGCTATTATGTTCTTTTTGAACCAAAACACAGATAAAAACCCTTAATTGTTTATTTTCTATTGTTGAATAACTTCGGAAAAACAGATTAATTCAAAGTCATTCGTCTGGCTATCTTTCTTTATAATAATATTTTACCCATGTATTTATTAAGACTTTGATATTGTTTTGCTAGCTTTCTTGATTCCGCACTCTGTTTGCGTCTGCAATAAAATTCTAAACAGTAATTTAGGACTAACTTTGACAACAAATATGATAGAACCATCCAGAAAA